CGAAATCCAATGTTGCATTTCCTGCAACCCAAAGTGAAAAAATCTGCTTTTGCTAAGAGGACTTCCACAAACAAAAAGGGCAATTCCTGTAATGCTGCCAAAGCAAGAGACTGTATCACAGAGTGGAAGGATTCATTACCCAACTGACATATAAGCATATTAGCTAGAGAAATGAAATGTGACACCCATTATCACAAAGACAGAACATCCTTTATACAGACGACAGAATTACTCCATTGACGAACAATCTAAATATTCTGGCTACCTTAACAAATCCTTGAACAGGAAACAGTGAAATATCAACTTAAGGCAGAGTAAAACAAAAAAAAGCATATAAGAACCTGAAATATCATCATAGAAAACAAAAGTTCCATTCAAAAGCAAAATTAACCTGCGAAGACTATCTGGATCAGAAGGCATCCATGTCCTCCTCAGAGCCTTGCGCCTCTCCACCGATCCAAACCCAGTCTGGATCCCAACAAAACCCATAACATTATGCCTATTTGAGTTCACTGCATTCTCTGATCCAGCAACCCTAGAAACTTCGTTGACATCATGACCCACCCAATTAACAGAGAGAGATTTCACTCTGAAATTGTTGCATTTATAGGTTGATATAGGTCTCGACAAGGCAATCAGCCCAAATATAATCCCTGTAAACCCAATGATCAAGCAGAACAAGGAAAAAGAAGGCCTCCTGATAATTGAAAGCCATGAATTGCGAGTGTACAGCACCTTGCGGTTGAAAGTGGGAGCAGAAGGCATGTTGAGAACTTCATAACCCTAGAAGAGATTGGGGTTTTTATCAAACCATTCAAGTGAGAGCAGGACAGTGAGTGTCAGTGCTATGGCAGAGAAGACGTCTCCATGGCCCATCAAAAGATCTTGAAAACTCCTTTTGGTATTCTTTAATAGTGAAAAATAGCAGATAAACCCTAGAAATTTAAGCTCTTTAATGCAAGCTCTTTAATGCAGGTCGTACCAAATTTATACGCTCTTTAAGACAAATGAACAGAAAGAGAGGGGCGGGGGCGGGGGCGGGGGCGGGGGCGGGGGCGGGGAGATCAGCGAGCGCTCTCAGGGTGGTTGAAGATCATATACGGCGGGTAACGCATGCGACTGCGAAATTTCGGAGCTGTTTTAAAATTTACACATTTCGGTCTCAGAGGGAAGACGAGAAACAATGGGGTTGGCGAAACCGAAATGCACCGCTACGAACCGAAAACTTCTGCGAGGCCAGATTTCTAAACGCTGCACAGTTTGAAAAGTTCGCGCTGCGACGAACGGAGATTTATTTCCCGCAAATTAATTTTGGATTGTCTCACGGCGCAATCCCTTAAATTTCAAAATGGTTCGTGTGTTATAGAACATAGACAGTTTCTCATGATCTAACTTTACATTTAATTTGGGGAAATGATCATGATATCGTGTACAAAGATAAATGGCTTCATTGTACATTTTTATGTAACGTACAAACATTTTTAGCCCAAGTACGTCACAATTACTATTAGTCACTTAATGTTAAATTATGCAAATTAACGATATACGATTTATTAGATAATTGTTTTTAGATCATGTGAAATATCTAAGTTGTTGAATTTTATATTCGATAGTTAAAAGTGATTGTGACTTCTTTATACTAAAAGTGAAGGAAAATGTTTATATTCTTCTCCTATAAGATAGAAGTTCTATCATCTCCCTACCATCCAGTCGTCCAATTTTGATCAAGAGAGCCACTCACCGTTTTGATTTTAGATCCCACGTCTTAAAGTATTTTATTTTTAGTTCTTTTTTTATACAAATTGTTTGAATATGAAATTTATTACGTGCCATCTTCTCATTGGGGCGCATCTAAAAAAAAATATTAAAAATAATTTTTCAATAAAATATAATAACCCTTTGAAACTTTCAGACGTAGTTTGGTCATTTAATTTTATTGAAAATATTTTTTTATATTTTTTTCTAGTGTGAGTTTAATAGAAGAATAGACGTCTAAAATTTGGTATCAAAATAGTTTATAGAAAACAAATTAAAAATAAAATAGTGTAGAGACGTGACATTGTGATTGGGGCAATATTAGCCCTCCATTCAGAATGGACGGTTGGATAAGGGGGACGATAGAATTTCTATGCCGTAGAGGAAGCATAGAAAGCTTGTCCAAAAGTTAATAGACTTATGTTATTTATAATCTTTTTTTTTATTTTAAGGGAAAATATCGTTTAAAGGGTTGAAAGCCCATAAAAAATTATTATACGAGTCAAATAAGGTGTGTTTTTTTTTATTATTTCACTTAGGTACCTTCTTATGTGAAATGGAAATTCCTTTACTCATGATTAGAAATAGGAACAATTAAACCAAATTCAATAATTAGACCCTAGAGGTCCCAATTGAATGACAAAACCCTAATTATTCGTCATTACAAATAAGGAATAGAATGTTATTATTATTGATGAAGAAAAGCTAGTGATATTGTAGACATCCCCTTAGAAATTATAGTTAATAGAATTCCTTAAAACTTTGATTCTGAGATACTCAACTTAGACCTAGTAGAATCATCCCAAAACATATCCCAAGACGTAGTAGATGCTGAGTGCTTTCCAACAGTCTAAGAATCGTTCAGATCGGGCGTTCCGTTGAAAAGTTAGGGCCTCAAGAGGGTCTAGGGTAAAAATAACAAAAGTACACTGAGCGCGGCTAACCATGTGTCCCGCACCCTGATGTGCCCATGTTGGTTATTTTCATCTAAATCATTTTTTAATTAGAATTTCAAGTTGGTTTTCCACTGAAATATTTAAGAAAAATCCTAAAATTAGCCTATTCCTAATCAAACTAGAACTAGAATATTAGATCAATTGTTTTCAAGCCTATCCGTCCCTATAGGTTATAAGTACCCCATCAAATTTCTTGGAAAAATCATCCAAAAAAATAATCCAAAAATCCATAGGAAAATCCCCAAAAACTCCCCTAGAGCCTAGAAAATCTCATAAAACTAGGAAAATCCTCTAGAAAAGTAGGAAAAAAAATCCTATATAATTAGGGAAAAAAACCTAAGAAAAGCTAGAAAATTATGAAATTCATCAAAAATCCTTAGGGATGTAGGAAAAATCTTAATACCCTTAAAATTTTAGGGAAAATCCCTAGAAAGTCTTAAGCTAGAGGCCCTAAGCTTATATCCTCTCAAAATTCATCTAAAAATCAAAATCCAAGGAACAAGTTATGCTAAGTCCGAACCAAAACCTTAAAATCATGCATCAAGAAAGCAAGAGAAGGCATCCAAATGTGTAAATCAGCCTGCATTCCTGATATTGGCCCCAATTCCAAATTTCTCTTCCCCTCCATTTATTTATTTATATTGATTCTACTGCATTATTATTTTATGGTTATTTTTATTTTTTATATTTAATTAGGAATTAGAAAGCGTTTTAAAGTCTTATAAATGGATTATGAAGCTGGCGCTACTAGTAGGTTTAGAAGAGAACCGAATATGCAAAGATCTGCAATGCCCCTAAACCTATAATTTGAGTGACCCCACTCTCTCTACTGATTCGAAAAGATTAACTCATTGTGCAATAATTTTAGTTGATCTCACTCAATTATCGATCCAAATTCGAGCATAAAAAGTTTAGCACAACTCAAACCGAGTTGTACATCGCGACTTGAACCGAGTCGGGCTAAATAAAATTTCTACAATCCCATTTTTGGCCATGTTTCGGTTCTCTGTGATTTTTGAGTTTTTTGTTTCAAGATCTAAAATTCTAGAAAAAAAAAAATGAAGAAGAAATAAGACATGGGTTAGATTAGATTTCCTTGGGCCTATCTGTTTATGGTAGACAATCTTTTTAATCTTATATTAGCTGCTTAGTTTAGAATTATTGATCTTATCTTCTAATATTATACTTCTTTTATATCTTTATCCTTTTTGTTCTATCTCTATCCTTTGCATTAGTAGAATAGGACTGATTTTATGTTGCCTGCTTGATCACACCACTAGAGCGTTGATTTTACACGTGTTACCACATACGTTCAGACATACCCAATAAACTTTTCAAATTTTCTAAAACCCCCTATACTGTCACTTAACACATGATGGAATCCAGTGTTGTGTGTGGATGGTTGCTCCAAAAATATGCTAGTGGGAAATGCTTAAGACATTACGACGCCAAAAATAGAAAAATTACCACGTGACTAACACAAACAGGGTCAAATTCATCCGTGTATTTTATATCATGTAAACAACAAGGTTTTCACATATATATTAGGTATGTGAGGAGTTATAGGGACTTACAATCTATGTTACAGTTTATATCGACCTGCAATGGAAGGTTGAACACCCTTGATTCGAGCCTTGAAACATATACATCACAGTTCTAGAAGGGCACATATACAGATTACAGAAAAAAACATCGATACTATCGACATATGGTGCCCGTATACCTAATTATATGCAGGGGTACTGTCCATAATCTGCTTATTCTCTAACTGAGGCTTCAAATGGATTTGTATCAACTGCTTTTCTCTTTCCATCAAATTTCTACAGCACATAACAAAGAATGACGATATCAATGGTATATCTTTTGACTAACGGTGGATGAGTAGTCGCTCTTCTTGTTTCTTTATCTTTCTATCACGCACAAAATAGGAATGGGTCATGTATTAATTTTGCCCTCCCCCCTCTCTCACTGAGAAGTGGATTTATATAGACTTCATGAAAGGATAAGGATGAATTTCCATCAAGCATATCTAAATTGTTGACCATTTTATCTCGCTCACGATTTGGTTAAAAAATATAAGCTTGTATCTTTGTTAATTCAAAAGTGCTTCCAGATGACTTGGATGATAACTTTGTCATTGGTTGATCTTGATTTTGTCTAATGTCTGAATTTGAGTGTGCAACTGCCAAGATTCATTGTGATATTGCATGAGAAATTGAAGCAAATAAGCTATTTCTCATATGTCGTTGGTTAGTCTACAAAACAGCATTGACATGTCTGTGTACTTCTTCTCCCGCTTTCTGATGACAAATTCATTTGCCATGAAATTTGGAGAGATGATAGAGGACTCAAAGATGAACTTCACTTCAAATGGGTCATGGACGAGGGAACTATGGTTCGTCAAATTGAACCCAGCTGTGCTGCAAATCACAACAGCAAATTTGTGAATTGCGGGTACAACAGCTTCCATCACAGGGGATTATAAAATCTTGAGGATATGATAGCTTTGTGGATGGGACTATAACACACATCTCCAAATAATTTGGGCTCAACTTTCTCCATATCTAAGGAGAAATCATTTAGTGGCAGTCAAAGTCTTGCATAGTTTTCATGGTCACATTGCCGAGTTCGCCGCTTTATCACATGAGTATAATATGATGTCGCATTCACATGGATGATATGGCATTGAGTCATGAATCCAATGATCTAGGTCTTATGAGAAAAATCCTTGTACATTGAAAGAAATCTCAATTTTAGTGATCGGAGGTCATTCTGGCTATCTGTCTAACAGAGGGATATAATTATCCAATATGATCTAAAACTTTGGAATGACTGATATAATTTATCCAATATGATTTACCACAAGTTTTGCACCAATCCCCATATATATCAAGTTCGGGGTTAGTCAATGCATATCTTGACCTTCGATGAATGGGGCTAATCGGCCAAATGATATCCAATTTGTATGATTCTTGGACTTGAGGTTTATGAGGCAATATGGAATATATCTGCAATAATACACCTCATTGTGATATCATATGGTGAGGTTTCATTATGTTCTATCTATCACACTCTTTCCTTGGTAGATGGCGGATTCAAAAGACATAACATACCGCATCAAACTCTTTTGATATCATGCAGAGAGGAGTATCATGACCTTAGGAGCATATGTCTTAGAATCAGTTTCAATTTGAGATTGTTTGATGGTCTCTCATAATCGGTTGTTACTCAAGATGAATATATTTTGACTGACAACATATTGGAAAGTGTATCGTACTGTATCGAAACTCCTCTGATATCATATAGATAGACGTATCA